AATCCTTTCACGGCTTCTTTGATGGTTGATTCAGGTTGTCCCAAGTGACTTTGTGCTAGAAGACTGAGATCAGATGCCAGGTTCAGCGTGTTGTCTTAGAAGATTGGTACTGCATACAGGGCTTAGTGTGATCCTGTAATCTGGTTCCGGGGCTGCTGTTCTGTGCACATGGTTAGAAAGTCTCCTAAATTAGTAGGTTGTGCCCATCCATTCTGTCATGCCCTCACTTCCTACTATGTTTGCCTGGCTCTGTTGCTTTGGGTCTTGACAGCACAGTATGCCATAGGGTAAGGCATACAGCAGAGGAAATCTATCCACATACTCTAGGAAGCAAAAAGAAAAAGAGACCCAGTCTCCTTTGCAAATGAATGCTTTCTTCCTTTTTTTTTTTTTTTTTCTTATCCATACCGGGGATCAAACTCAAGACCGCCTGCTTGCAAGGCAGGTGCTTATGCCACTGAGCTAAATCCCCAGCCCCAGGAATGCTTTCTTTGGACTAACTTCCACCTCTGAATGATTTCATAGCTCTCAGTAGTGGCATAAACTAGAAAACAGCACCTTTAACCAATGGGCCCCTAGGTAACACTCTAAATCATAACTAATGTCTTCCCATCTCCTCCTATAATGCTCTTGACTATCTTTTTAAGAGTCCGAAAAACTAGCAAATCTCAGAGTCAGAATTCAAAATCAAGGTGTCCAGCTCCATAATCTACAGTCTATTTCACAAAGATACATGTATCCCATTACCATTAGGGTGAATTTCAAACTACTTGGCCAGGTAGGTAAACTCATCCACATTTGGTCCCTAGATGGCCAGTCCACATTAAACTTTCAATTGACATTCTGAGTATTATCTTATGTTTAAAATTTAAAAAATAAAATAAAACTTTGAACCAGGGTAGAAGTAAAAGCCTTCTGTTGGTTGTTTCATATTTTTTTCTAATGTGGAATGGAGAATGACATTTTGAAGTTTTGTATGATGGCTTATGAACCCACTGACTGGCATACTGAGAGATAGCTGAACAAGCACAACTTCCATGTGTCAGAAATAAGATTGGCTGAACGTGTAAAAGGAAGCGAATATTTATTTTTTTTCTGACCATATTACCTTTTCTGATTTCTTCCCTTGTCAAAAAAAGTCAAAAACAGTCACCAGGGCATCCACTTATTTTAGGAAGATGGCAAGAGGTAAATCACTGATGTTTTAAGCGTTTCTGCAAAAAAACACTTCAACTGCTTAGAAAGATTTTTATTCCAATCCTGCTTTCATCTCCTTTTATTTTGTTGTAGCAGGTATTTTGAGTCAAAACATCAGAAAGGTAGCTGAACTTTAAGTGACTTAGTTTCCAATATAACATTTTTACTTAAAATAGTTTAAGTTAAAGCAGTGCTACTTAATTGTTAAACACAATAAGTTCTGTGTTTAAATTGTTTTTGTATGTTGAGCAGTAGTGAGATTTTGAGGAAAACATTAATTTAATTTTGGATTAGTTAGATTTGATATTAGTTAATTCATGGAACCGCAAAATCAAAGAATAAAATGTATATTTACTATTAGTACAGTGGGTGGCACGTGGGAGTCTCAGTTGTCTGTACTGCCATTTGTACTTCCCTCTCCACTCTGTGCAGTTTTGGCTTGGGCAGCTTGTGATTAACAGCAAAACCAAGTTCTTATTTTTATAGGTCTTATAGCAAAACTAGAACTCTCTTGTGTACTTTGAAAATTTGGGCTCTATATTTAGATAAAGTTCAAAGCCACATAAGCAGCTAAACAGACATACTCAACCTTTCTGTAACCGTTTTCTTACTTATATAATGAAGATAATGACTAATGGTATGTTAGTATTGAATTAGTCAAGAAATCTGCTTATTTAGGTTATGCCTGGTATCTAAAAGGTGTTAAGAAACGATTTGTTGTTATTGGAATTAAACCAGAACTTTTTAGCTATTTTATAGAAGAGGAATTTTGGGAACAAACTGCAATAAAGCAGAAATCATACACAATATCACGGAAAACTGAGTAACTCCAAAGACCAAAATAAAAAGCTCATCAGTAACAGTTCTTTTGGTCTTTTTTATATTAGACATTTTCCTGTAACTCAGAATACATATCTCTAAGTAATGCATGCATGGTTCTTCACACAGTGGGTAGAGTTTTAATTTTAAAATATCTGTATTTTATACAGTTTTATATTATATAAAATTACATAGCCTATCTTACATTTTCCAGAAATCCATGCTTCAGAGGTTGACTCCATCCTTATCAGTAGTCCTAAACCGGAGACATCCTATGAAATGCTTTTAAGAATTGAGCTCTTCCTGGTAATCATTAGTCTATTTGTCCATAAAAGTCTAGTGACAAAAGAACTAGACTTGCCATCTTCTATTGTGCACCAAATGCTGTTTTGTCTCCTAAATTTGTATTCTCAAGGCATAACTTCTAATGTAGTGCTATTTGGAAGAGAGTTTGTAAAAACTCTGGGAAATGATTAGTGTCATTGGAAGAAATATTATACTTCAATACTTACTTCAATTTGCAGTTCTCAAAGATTTTGGGAAATCAGACTTCTAGAACCATGCAGCAGTTATTTTAATTAGGTGGTGGTGGAATTCATTCGAAAGGCTTTGGGATTTGACAGTACTTTGAGTTTCAATAGCTTCTTCTCAATTCTGTAACAAATGTACAGTACAGGAAATGGAATGGACCTTTGGATCATGATTTTGACTTTCTTTATAGTCAACTATTTTCCCAACAAAAGTATAAAGTGTGAAAAGTGAGTGAGATCCATTAATTCCCATCCTCATTATTTGCATAACAACTGTGAGTTTAGTTTTTCCAAAATTCCAGGAATTACACTTTTGCAAGAGGAGTAAGTGAATGCTTCTTGAATACAGCCCAAAATTCCACATATCTTATATACAATAAGCTACTGGTTAATTTCTTGACAGTTTTTTTAATTCATGCCTACATATCTTGTAAAAACTCAAAGGCACAAGAAAAACCGGTAGATGACTTTCTGCAACATTCCCCAACACTGTAAAATACCCGTTCGAATGTTAAACGTAATGAATGTGTAAATGACCTATATTTACTTAAAAAGAGGATTAAGTAGGAGACAGTTTACAGATTAAGAGACATCTTGAAAGGAATTTGAAGCCAGAAACTTTGGGGTAAAGATTCTACTGTATATTCTTGGTTTACTTTCACTAAGTGAGTTTAACAATTTTTAAATTCATGCCAGATTTCTACCACAATGCTTTACTGTTAAATGATAACATTATATAGTCAGAAATCATAAGTTAAAGATGACTTTTGGTTGGAAGCAGTTTAAATGATTCTGATTCCCACTTTAGTATCAGAACAGCCTTTTGAAGGAATAAAAACCCAAAATAGCATTAAACACTGAGTGAAGCCAACAACCTATAGATAATACCTGCGGAAAATCCTCTTTGGAAAGCTGCAAAGCGTCAGTGTCCTATAATACCTCTTGAGATAATCACCCCCCGCCACACACACACACAAAATTCGCTCCTGGAAAATTCTTAAGACACGGAAACAAGATGCCCCTTTTATCACTAAGCATCTCACCACCCGAGACACTGTTCACTTTCCCTTCAAACACATTCCGAGGTGGCTAAACGTCAGGCAACTCCCCTGACTGCACAGGGGGAAGAGCAGGCTGTTTGGGTGGCTCACTTCCACTCGCTAAGCGTGGGTCTCCGGAGCAGCCCACATCTCTGGGTAGGAGTCGCCAGTAGGTCGCTCGATCCACAGGGCAGTAGGCAGGAATTCATTACCCTTGACATCAATGGTTCCGCTAGGCCACTGCTTCTGCCAGAGTCCGCTAGTAAAAAACCCAAATTGAGTTCTTTTCTGTAATTCAGATTTGGCCTGTAGCAACTAATCCGCAGCCCCTGGACGCTGTGACGTTCACTCTGTAGCGGGTTTTGGAACTGCCAGTGACTTTGCCGCTACAGCTCTTACCAAGACAAATTTCATCTTTTCTACTGAATCCTCCAGTTCTAATTTTGCGCTCCGTGACTCCAAGTTAGGCGTCCACTCCCGGCAGCGCTCTCTAGCTGGCGTCCTGCTTGCAGAAGCCCCCGGTTCTGAGCTGGCGATGCAGCGAAACCGACCTTGCAGAAGCCGCTGCTCCGCGCAAAGGAACCTAGCGCCACCTCTACGCGGCACCACTTTGTCTCTTCGGCTGGCTGGTCCCAAACTGTGAAAAATGAGGAAGCTCCAAATGGAAAACCCTTCAGCAATCCTCAGTCAGTTGTCAAAGCGGAGAACATAGAGCTGTTGTCTCTATCAAGCACAAAGGTGAATGATGGCACGCACACACGCGCGCGCACACACACGCGCATAAACACACACGCGCATAAACACACACACACACACACACACACACACACACACACACTGCCCAAAGTTTACTTCCCGTGGAGGAGGAATATTTCTTGCACCTCAGTCCGGGTAAGACAAACTCCCACTTGGAGGATCCTTTCAGGAAGCTGTGGATGTTCCGAAATGCTTCTTAGAAGGAAGTGTCTTCGACGTAGGGTGCACCAGCTATGTAGCATCCTGGTATTGCTAGGAAGGCTGTCAAGGAAAGAGTAAGAAGTTGGGGCTGGAGCTTCTTATCTCCGGTGCAAAACCTTGGAAATGGCCGCGAGGGGGCTGGGTATCTAGATTCTTAATCCCGCCCCTTTCTCCAGTTGAGTAGTTCACCTGCTACCGTCCAGTTTACAATATAAGCGTAGATCCTAAGTTAGTCCACTTGCAAAAACTAGGCATCACAAATCCCTAAGCAGATCTCTACCAATATCTAAGGGAGCTTCAGAAGCTCTCTGGGAAAAAAAAAAAAAAAAATGTTACTTGAAGGGATGGGCGGAAAAGGTGGGCTAGCAGGGACTGTGTTCAGAAAATGATATGCAGGCTCCTCTATTCGAAGGACCTCGGGGAGCCTTTCGGCATCCCCCCCCCCCCAACCGCTGCAGCCTAGTCCTTTCTCCTGCGTGGACCGGTCAGGTGGCTTCGGAGGGTGAGTAGGGGAAGAGGTCCATTTTTAGCCGCGTTCTCACGTAGGGTTCTAGGGAAGTAGCTGGTTTCAAGGAAAAAGCAGCAGGGCAGAGACAGGAGAAGTACCCAAAGAAAACGGAGCGCTTGCAGGGTGAAACTACACAGCACCAACCCATTAACTCGTGTGCAGTGCTGGAGTCTTCTGTTCGTCCACGTTCTGGGGCCCTCTCCCCTTTTAGCTTCTTCCACTGACCACTGCCCTGGGGCCGACTGAGCGGGGCTGGGCGCGCGTGCGCTGTTGTGCGCGCGCGTGTGCGTGTGTGTGCGCGGTGAGTGTGTGCGCGCAGCCCGCGCGCAGAGTGGGGCCGCCGGGACCCAGCATCCCGCCGCCCGCCGGGTATCCCCGCTCCTGGTAGCCTCCGGCTGGCTGCCTGCTCACCTGGCGCTCTCCGCGTTCGGCTACCGCTGCCTCAGCTCCAAGTTTCCGCGGTGCAGACGCCCGGGTGCCCCGGCTGCCCGCGGAAGCGCGGTGCTGAACCGCACCTTGGAGTGGCCTCCTCACGGTACCTCTCTGCCCGCTCCCCACCAAACCAGAGCAAAGAACATATTACAATTAAGAGGAGAAAACGAGGAAAGGCGTTTCGGAGTGAGAGAGACTGGAGCGTCTTTCCTGCTGCCCACCGGGAGCCGACTGACGCGCTCCTGGGGTTCCGAGGAGACCGAGGGGCAGCCAAGTTACCGATCAGACACTGGGAGACTTCCGAGCCCAGCAGCTGGTCCCCGGCTCCGCTCCCCGCGAGGGCTCCCTAGCCGTCCCCCTCTGCTTCCCTCAGAAAGGGGCGCCTGCACCGCCACGGAGAAGTCGCGGAAAAGCCCCGGACTCGCGTGTGTCGCAGCCTCGGCTTTGGATTTTAAGGGCATGAAGGAGAATTAACAGCGCCGCAAGGTAAGAGCTTGAGTCGCCCGAGAAGAATAACTTAAAAGCCGATTCTGGGGATCCCTAGGGGTTCAGCCAAGTTACGGTGCTCCCCTCCGGGGGTCTCCACGCAGTTGCCCAGCCGGCTCGGGGCGCCAGTGGGAGACGAGCGGCGCTGCTGGCGCCCCCTGGAGCAGCCAGAAGCCCGAGGGGGCGCCTGCTCCTTCCACTTCTGGACATCTGTTGGAAATACCAGTCGGGCCGGTCGTTCCGTTGTCCAGGTTGCTTTTGGCTTTTTCTTTCTTCTGAGATTTTTTTCCCTCTTGTTGGCACTGCAGTCCCACCCCCTCGTTGCCACAGAGAGCTGCGGGCACCAGGAAAGCAGCTAGGACGGTAGCAGGTGAGTCCGAGGCAGGTGGGCACGGGGGCAGCGGCGGCATCCGGTCCGCCGACCGCGGGGCGCGTGGAGCCCACGCACTGCCTTGGCCGGCGCCCTGCAGCCGGCGTCGGAGCCCGGGCGCCTCGGGTCGCTGCGGTTCCCTTCGCCTCCGCTAGAGGCTCCCAGCGGGCGCGCGGAGCGGTGGGTGTGGGGGCCCGAGAGGCGGAGGGGCGAGCACCCGGAGCGAGCGCGCCCGCAGGGTGGCGGAGCCGGCGCGGTAGGGGAGGGAGCCCGGCTCGGTCCGAGGACGTGAGTGGCCGCCTTTACGCGCACCGCGCAGCGGGGACGCGGGTCCGAGTCTGACGAGCTCTGGAAGGTGCGCCCAGAGCTGGAGCCACTTCGGGGATGCGGTTCTCTTCGGCGCCTTGAAGGCAGCCCCGGGAGGTAACGTCCCCTTCTACTCTCTTGACCCCACCCGGGTCTCTGCAAATTCTCAGCTAGGCGCTCAGGTGGCAGCAAGTGGAGGGTGTGAGCAAATAGATAGGGTCTGTGTCTAAAGGTGCCTTTCAGCCTCCTTCTGTGGTGCTCCGGGTGCCTTGTGTTCGAACTACTCCCTGTGTGGCCCGCCTTCCTTGAATATTTTCTTGCTCTGAGGGATTTTTTTTTTTTTTTTTTTTCCCCTTGCTGAGCGCACCAGGTGGCTGGTTTGGTCTGGGTTACTCCGAGCTGAGCAAGGGGACCTACTGTGTCCCCTTTGAGCTGCAGTGGGCCCAAGTGTAAGACTCCAGGGACGGGGTGTGGTGGAGGGGGGGAAAAAAAAAGGGAAAGAGAGAGCACCACACCCTCGTTTTCTTCCCTTTTCCTTTTCACCTGCTGGGGAAGTCTCCCCATTCAGCATTTCACGGATTTCTTTACCCAAGGACTTGGCTCTGTGAGGAGAGCAGAGCTACTGCAAGACTTGGAGAGATGAACGGTGAGGGAGAGAAGGATGAGAAGGAAGTGATGGCTGGAACTCAGGGAGAAAGGAGGACCTAGTTAATATTGTAGATTCAGGGTTGGGGGGTGGGCGAAGAGGATTAAGGCTAGGAAATGGCCTTAAATTCAGATTAATGAAGTCAAGATTCCTTTCACATTTTACAGTTCCTGACACAATTCACTTTGCTCCAGCCACTAGTAAATTTCATCTGTGCTAAATACTGCTCCAGCTGATACATCCCATCTCTGCATGGTGGTCACTGACAATATTTGTTTTATCTAAGAAGAAAAAAGTGGACATTGTGTGTATTTCTGTGATTACTTGGTGTGTCAGACAGCCAGCAATATGTGTGCTTTTTTAAAGTAGGTTGTGCTGCGTTTGAGAATACTATGTGTCATATGTGGTCATTTTACACTTTGTAATGCAATTTTAGGATCCTATAAAGATGATAATTAAACACGACTAATATTAGACGTCTTGCAAAATAATACTCAAGGATGACCAAAAATACAGGGTTCATGGAATATTCTAGGGATACTGAATAAAAGCCAACATTCAGCAGTTGTGAAATACTGGCCCACATGCTGAAAGAGTGAAATACATTTTTTTTTAAATGGGAAGCGATTTTTAACATTTTAAAAAGAAAGAGATGTTTTTCATCCTTCTGACATCACCTACTAGTGTGTTTCACTTCCAATACAGCTGGAATACAGTGTGAGGAAAAATTACTTCCTGTTGAAAATGAATAATATTTGGTGCGAGATACTGTCAGGTCCTTACACCTTAAAAATTTAAATTGAATGGATGAGTTAGTTTTATTTATGTGGAGGGCATTTCTTACTTATCTATTAACATAAATATGTAAGTTCAGATTTTATATAACAATTTTAATTTAGTAGAAACAGAAGCAGGGCAACTTACTGATGTTTTGAACTCCAGAACAGCATAACATCAACTCGGAAAAGATTTATAGAAGTTATTCATTAAGCATTATACTGGACAGAGCTCTGTGGGAAAGCAAAAATCTGTATCTTGCTGAAGTCCCTCAGAGGATGGTTAGTTCTTAAAATATATTGTTTTAGAAACTTCATGGTGAGAAAAATGATAGTTACTTATCGAAATCTATATAGATACCAATGACTTATTTGTTGAATAGAGTTAACCAGGGCAAAATAGATGGTATACACTCTATTGTCTGTGAAACACACCTCTGATACACAAGGGAGACCTGCTAGTATTCAGAATCTGTGGATATCATGCTTAAGTGATACTGTGTTTCTTGACATTTAATTGAGCCAAACTAGGGATACTGGTTTGTAATTTCAAGTTCAGTTTTAGGACTCCATCTCTAAAGACTTTCTTTTCTCTAATAAATGTAATTTTAAAATAAATCAAACTTTGAAGTGTATTTCTAGGAATGCTGTGGATCTAAATTTGAGCTCTGTGAAGCTTCATATCAAAAATAAGAAGTAATAGGAAACTGTCACAAATTAGTTGGCTTGATGCTTCAATTAAAAACTGATTATTGTCTGGCTGTGGTAGTCATTATGGTGATTTTATTTGGTCTTCAGATATTCAGTGAAAGGACTCTAGGTGGAAATGTTTTCCTGTAGTACAAGGAGAGGAGGTCACTATATGCAAACAGGCTTGTCAGTTACTGATTCTTCAATTTGGTTGCTTTTTATCCATAAGGCAGCATGCTGGATTGAAAAAAAAAAATCAATTTTTTGATTTCACATGAACATTTCCTTCTTTTCCAGTTGTCAACCAACCTCTGGGTACTCCTTTTATAATTTTGATGAGATTTAAACCAGGCCACATTCTTTGGTATTAAGAACTTTAAAAAACTAAGCATGAAATACTATTTTTTCCTGAAAGCAAATGAATTGAGCTGTAAAAGAGAATTGATAGGGAAATAAAAGAAATAGAAGAGGCTGGTTGAATTCTAGGTGTCAAGCTTACCTGCCTGACTGCATGTTCCTAATTTATTCTTTTGGGCATCATTTTTGTTATCTCTTTAAAATATCTTCTATTTTTCCTTCTTTAAAATATTTCCTTTAGAATGAGACCCATGCTAATTTACTGTTACAGTATAGCTGTCAGCCTATATTTTTAAACCAGATAAATGGTCACATTTATTTTTCAATTTTATATGAAAAACACTCCACTAGGCTGTGTTTTTGGTTGTTCAGGGCGTCTCAGTCATCAACTAATTGTTACCTCTTACGTGTGGGTGCTTTTTCTCTCTGGCTGCAACTCTACTGGCTTTGCTGGGAGATATGGAAGGATGGACAGTTAGGCACTGGAGATGGATGAGCTGCCTAGGAATGTGGCACATTTCTATTTTGAGAGACTTATGCAGTTAATATTTTTTTTCAATATGCATACTGCTTAGTGTAGTCAAGTATGATAATTAACAAATAGTTAAGTCACATTCCTAAGTGTATATATTTTAGAAATGATAACTCCAGTTAGGAAACATAAAGTCTATCAAAGCCTTTGGTAAATGCTGTCCTGTTTTCTTTCTTTTACTTTGTTCTTTCCTTTTATTTGGTGTGGTGTCACTGAATGGGTACAATCACTAAATGGTTCCTAAATGTCCCCAGACAGAAAATCTTGGTTTCAAATATCTCCTAAGAAATCCTAACCTGATGGCAAATGCCAGTAATCTCAGTCCTGAGGAAGGATGAGATGGAAAGGTTGCAAGACTGAGTCTGGTCTGGGAAATATAGTGAGACCCTGTCTCAAAAAAAAAAAAAAAAAAAAAAAAAATTCTATGTGCCCATACATCTACCTGATTAGAGAAATCTATCTTATGTATCTGATGAGAAATCTTGGATTCAGTCTCTAGTACTGAGGAAAAAATATGCCAAGAAAGACTGACTCAGTGCTCAAAAAACAGAATGAACGAAATAGTAAAACCATTGGGTTTAACATTAGAAAATATAAATTCCACTTATGATTACCAGTGCCACTTTTCTAAAGCTCTCATCTTCCTGAGGCTCAGTGATCTTTTCTATGTACTGGGAGAAGTTATATTTACCTGCTCCATCTCTATGTTTAATATTTGATCATGCCTAATTTTAATTTTAGAAAAAGGAAATAAAAAACCCCTTTACCGGGGCTGGGGATTTAGCTCAGTGGCATAAGCTACTGCCTTGCAAGCAGGCAGTCGTGAGTTCGATCCCCGGTACCGATAAAAAGGAAAAAGACAAAAAAAAAAAAAAAAAAAAAAAACCCTTTACCTGGCCATGTAATTGTCAGGGATTGTAACATTTGATACGAGAAATGAAATACATTTAAAGAACACTTGTAAAACTGCATGTGAGTTTGATGTTGGATTAGATTTTGATATGTCTTTGATAAGGGGTGATTTTTTTCTGAATAAACTATTAATAAATGTCATAAAATGAAATTTAAATTAATATGTATGTATTGGTGATGATTTTTCTGAATTAATATGACAAAAAATTTTGATTTGTGGAAATTTCATAATATTTAATGTATACAGTATAAAAGTTGAACATTTGAGCTTGTCCAGAAGAGTTGTGATGACAGAGAAGACCAAGGGAAGAACAGAGCCAAGGGAAAGTTTTTTAATAATAAAGTTTTAGCGGAGTTCCCACTCTTAATGATTATACATTTTGTATAATCATTGTATAAGATTTGTATAAG